ATCACGGAGAAGCAGACGGAGGTGGAGACGGCACTGTCGGAGACATCGGGCTGGTGCGTGTCCCAGCTCGATCCCCGTGTCCTGGAGGTCTACAGAGGCGTCAGAGAGGTAAGGCCAAAGCAGCTCTGCCCCGCGGCCCAGCGAATGCCACGCCGAGCCCTGCGGCCACGGCCTCCGTGCCCGCTCTCCCTCAGTGACGCTGTCTCCATCCTTACCCTGTGCAGGCTGTGTAATAACTGCAGTTTGTGTAGTACGGGTCACTGAAGGGCCCGGAGAGCTTCTGAGGGACAATGTCCTGAGCACCGTGCTCGGGATGGTCCTTTCTTACCAGAGGTGCTAAGGGAGGGAAAAGCTTTCTCGTGCTCATGAGACAAATCCCGCAGCCCTGCTGTCAGTGCCCATATGTCACGGCCTGGCCTGTATCCATGTCTTTTAAGGTGCTGTCCAAATACAGGAGCGGGAAACTCCCCAAGGCGTTTAAAATCATCCCTGCCTTGTCCAACTGGGAGCAGATCCTCTACATCACAGAGCCAGAGACATGGACAGCAGCTGCCATGTACCAGGCCACCAGGTAAAGCTCATCTCTGGGAGATGCTGATGTGGGACTTTTTTAGCTTGTTCTTTCCATAGTGGGAATGAGATTTACAAAATACCAGCCTGTCCCCCGCTGGCCTCCTTTCTCCACACCTCACTCTGTGCTTTGCTTTTCCCAGGATATTTTCATCCAACCTGAAAGAGAGGATGGCCCAGCGGTTCTACAACCTGGTGCTGCTGCCGCGGGTCAGGGATGACATCGCCGAGTACAAGCGCCTCAACTTTCACCTCTACATGGCTTTGCAGAAGGCTCTGTTCAAGCCAGCAGCCTGGTTCAAAGGTGGGGACCCCCTGCAGAGCCGCTCCTTGTCCCTGGTTGCCTCTCACAATCCGGGAGGCTCAGCAGGGGCACGCATTGCACACCACTGCCCAGTGTGACAGCACCCTGTCCCCTGTGTGGCGTGGCCCTGGGGGCTCAGTGGGGAGGAGGAGATGTGAGAGATGCAGGGAGTCCCCCTCGGTGGACACGGCAGCTTCCAAACCCCCAGGGGCCCATTTGCAGCGTTCAGGGCGGAAGGGTGATGCGTGCTGTAAGGCTTATGCAGGTGCTGCCAGCGAGCGCTCGCGAGTATTTGGGCTCTTCTGGAGGTTGATGGCAGGTTACGAACTGTCCGGGGTCTGATCTCAGTCTTGTCTGGCAACCTCAGGGGTGTTTGGGGCTAGCTGCGTGGCAGGGAGCTGCTGCAGCCCCTGTGACAGCAGCTGGTGGAGGGGCTGTTATGTCCTGGGGTCAGATGGGTCCTGGGACAGAAGGGGCTGGGCCCCGCATCCCACGGCTCTGCCTGCTGCTATTAAGGCAGGCGGTGCCTGACTCTTCCCCTTCCGCAGGGATCCTCATCCCCCTGTGCGAGTCGGGGACCTGCACGCTGCGGGAGGCCATCATCATCGGCAGCATCCTCACCAAGTGCTCCATCCCCGTCCTCCACTCCAGGTAACGCGCTGGGAGGCTGTGGGGGAGAGGTTCCCTTTTTGGGACCCCAGTGCAACGCCTCCGATCCATCCCTCAGCCTCTCCGGCATCTTGGAGGTGGGGGGGTTCGCTTGGCTCCCTCCAGGGTTGCAGTTGAAGGCTCAGCACCGGGTTTGTCATCTTTGTGTCTGCCCCAGGGCTCCTGCCTGGCCTGCCCTGCTCTCACCTCGGTGCTCTCTCTGTCCCCGCAGCGCAGCCATGCTGAAGATCGCCGAGATGCAGTACAGCGGCGCCAACAGCATCTTCCTCCGGCTGCTCATCGACAAGAAGTACGCCCTGCCCTTCCGTGTGGTGGATGCCCTCGTTTTCCACTTCTTGGCCTTCCGCACAGACCAGCGGGTCCTGCCTGTGCTGTGGCACCAGAGCTTCCTGGCCTTTGCCCAGCGCTACAAGGAGGACCTCTCCTCGGAGCAGAAGGAAGCTTTGCTTGAGCTGCTCAAGTTCCACAGCCATCCACAGATCTCACCGGAGATCCGGAGGGAGCTGGTGAACTCCAAGACGCGGGACGTGGAGGGGCAGCAGCCCGTGGCCATGGAGTGAGCAGGGAGAGGCAGGGAAAAGCTGCAGCCCGCCCTGCTCCCGGGACGTTGCTGGATGCAGGCTGGGAGCCTGGTGCGTGAGCAACCCGCTGCTTGTCACAGGGCAGGGCAGCCCCTGTCCCACCCAGGGACCCGGTGCCACCAGCACGCAGGAGGTTTGGCCTGTTCCTGTATTGGAAAATAAAACCCGAGCCGCGTCCGTCAGTCGGGTTGTTCTGCCCCGCAGCTGCACCTCTCTGCGGTCGCATCCCTGCGCCGTCCTGCCCTGTCCCTGCCCCACCTTGTCCTGTCCCCAGCAGGTGGCAGAGCAAAGCCACCAGCCCTGGGGTTCTCGCAGAGCTGCAGATTGAGCCCGTGCTGCCGGTGCCATCCCTCTGGGGGGGAATTGCTCCTGTCGGTGCTTGAGGGTTTCCCCGAAGCCTTGGTTGTCGCCAAGCCGGGGCATCACAGGGAGCACGTGTGGCCGTGGGCAGAGGCCAGGGCGAGAGCAGCCCAGCAGTGCTGGGTGCTGCCTTCCTGCCTGGCACCATCCCCACCCTGCCTCCAAAACGCCTCCCACCCCCCTTCCCCAGGGATTTTTCTGAAACGCTCGCTTCCCCAGCGGCCCCTCTGGGTGTGCCTCTACTCAGCAAGGCTGGGGAAGCCCCGGGGGCCGCTGTCCTCAGCTGTCCTGGCCATCGAGGCCACGTGTCCAGCCTGCTTGCAGCAATCTGCCCACACACATGTGCCACCTCTGCTAGAAAACCTGGGGGGGCTTTTCCTCCCGTGTCCCACGAGGCGCTTGCACTTACCCTGGGGAATTGCTGACGGTGACGCTGCCATGCTGCAAGGTTTGCAAGCACCCGGCCTTGCCCACCAAACCAGCGCGAAGTCCCTGCCGGTGCAGCCCATGGAGAAAAGCCCCTGCAGCCGCTGAGAGCAGCCTCCTCCTGTCCTGACTTCTCTCGAGAGTTGGCGCCTTCTCCCGTGACGGTGGCGGGAGCAGAAGCCACGTGAAGTGAAGCTGGGTTGCACACTGCAGCGCCTTTTCCTTGGCTTCCTGATTTTTATCTCCTTTCCTTAAAGAAGCCAGAAGCTGATGAGGGCAAGAGATAGCCTGGGCTCGCACGGCGCATCCAGCACACGCTCGCCACCCTGCAGCACCGCCCCAGCTGCTGCTGCACCCATCGGCAAGAGGGAGGCTGCAAAACGGCTGGGGGCGTGAAGTTGCTGCCTCCTCTCCAGCGCCCCGCTCCACAGGCAGGCACCTCGCCTGCAGGAAGACATTTTGGTTCCACGTTCGCCCAC